GAATTGTTCACCAGACTTCACTAATACTTTTGTAGTGGTACAAGATATTCCACTGGATAATGTCACATAAAATTGGTCATGAGAGAAAATCGATTATGGGAGATAAATACTTATATTTATAATTGTTTGTCACTGAGCTTTATGCAACAGGTGTGGAATCTATCTGGGGGCTGTGAATACTTTCTTTGGCTAATATTTCATTTCGGAAGATAGTTTCTCTTCGGTGGGCATTAGATAGTTTTCTTTGAAATATTAATTATTTTCGAAAAATAATTTTGTTTTAGAAACATGTCATATTACAAAAAAGATGTAATGTTTCGTTGAATGGTTTCTTCATGTATAGTGTTTGATGTTTCATATTTGTTTAAGGTTTTGGATTTAAAGTTTATATGTTTTTTTTTTACTAAAAGGAAGAAGATGCAAATAGTTATTGTAAAACATAATTTGCTTCTTTTTTTAAAAGTATAATAATTATAATATATCTTGGTTTTTTTGGTTATTGATGATTTTGGTCTGGAGGTTGTCTAAGTGAACAATCTAACTTTCAATTTTTTAACATTACGTACTTTCAATTTTTTAATAATCATCATTTTGCACTTGAAAAGCTAAAAAAATTATATATGAGAACAAAATTTGTAATTTCTCTTACCCTTTAACTTTGATATAAATTTTCAAAAAATTGTTCAATTTTGCAAATATTAGAAATTTTAACTAAAGGATAATAAAATGTTACAACTTTGGTCCCTAGTCCTATGGTATCATATAGTTTAGTATAAAACAACTAGTCAATTATTACCATAAAAAATTGTAATTTTACTATATCAAAAAATGATGAAATGTTTAATCTTGAAATATATTACCATAAACAGAAAAAAGCTTGTGTTTTTTTTATACAATTACCATAAATAATTAATTATCGACTTCAACATAACGTTAAACTAAATTAATTATAAAAAATTAAAAGTAAATTTAAGTTATTGAGAAACTGTAGTTTGATTACGTAAGTTTTTTAATTGTAAAGATAACGGATCAAACATATGACATATGAGTAGACATAAAACAGCCCTTTAAAACTTAGCCGAAGAAGCAGAAAAATATGTTAAGATATGCTTAATCCAATAATATGACTTAAGGTCGGAAGACTTGCGTTAACTTTTTTGTATATTTGTCATAACTTGAAACAATCTTTTCTACTGAAATATGTTAGGTAACTCACCAAAATTCTTTTAAAAGCATAAAAAGTCGGCAATTGTATTTGTAATTAGAACAAAAGGAGAATAGGGAATCACTAAAATGGGTTATTGCAAGTGAGCCCAATAAACGGGTAGATTTAACCTGATTTCAGCAAGGACAATAATCATGTAATCTATGTACCAAAGCTCATAAAAAATCAAAACTTTTAGTTAGGTCTATAACATTGTCTTACAGCCCATTCCATACATCAAAACCATTGCAAGCAATAAATAGAAAATCTTCAAAGTTAGTCGATTTGAGCAAACCAAACTATTCTCACTATGAGAACTCCAGAGGGTGATAAATTCTCTAAATTTGGCCTTTAATGCAAAGAAACAAAAAAATGGATTAAAAGCTCTTATAAATAGCATGGATTTCCATAAGAACTTGTGTAAGAAAGGTATACATACAAGAGCTTGTGTGTTAAAGATAATTTCAATTGGGGACCTTGATGAAACCTGCAACCAAACAAAGACAATATCAGTGGATAGAAATGAGTGGTGGGAACACAATACCCAATCCTATTTTATATGCATGAATCTCCATGCCTCCACTACCTAATCCTACTATTTGGATCAACAATTCTTTGCCTAATAGCTTTGGGTGTTGTCACTGCACATTAAAGTTTACCATGAGTATTAGTCTTCTTTCTAACATATTTAATTTGATAAAATATAAGCACTTGTAAATGTAAGTCTTGAATAAAAACTCCTCCAAAAACATGAAAACAAAGAAGTTTACCTTCAAAGTTTTCCGTTCAGGCTCTCTAGTCTCTAACAGAAAGAGCAACAGTAGCAACAGAAGGAGAGGTTATAAATTTATAAAATGGTCAAATTAATACATATATGATATCACAAATATTATTTTTGTTCCCCAAATTTACAAATATGAAAATGTTGTGAGAATGTTCATAAGCTATCTGATTGAAATAACAAAAATTTGCTCCCAATACTCTACATTCCCAAAAAAAAAGCATCTTGAGGACAAAGGTCACATAAACTTCTAGAAGCTAACTCACACAAATTAAATATATATCTGAAACATAGTTTGGATGCTTTACAAAAGCAGATCAAGATGATAAATCCCTTCTTACTTTGACTCCCTTTCACCCATGGATCTTAAAAAGAACTCAAAATATAAAACCTTGAATTTTATAAAGAGGTTCAAATAAAAAAAAACATTCAAAATTATGAGAGAAAGGAGGTTGAACCCAAAATATATGATTCAGCTCAAATTCTAACCCTCATCTCCCACATACTGAAACCATTAACCCATAACCTTAGCCCTAATCATTAAAGGACCATTGCGTAAACCAACCTACTACCATTTAAATGAAACACAACTCAGTTTAGAGCTCAAAAAAGAACAAAGTCGAAGGATGAATTTACTTTGTTACCTTCTTTTCCAGCAAGAAAAGATCATGTAGATAAGGAAAAATTGAGATAGTGTAAGCACTTTGTTGGTGTTCTGCAAGACCTAATTACAAATTTAAGAAAAAGTGAAACCCCTGCAAAGAGAAGATACATGGAAAAAAAAAAAACCGAAACCCCTAATCTCATATCTACCTGAAGCATAACGAAAATATAGGATTCAAGGTCTAAATATACAACATTTCATCTATGTACAAATTATCACAATACAAAATAACAAAATATCAAAGCATCTACCATCAAGCAAAAAAAAAAGAGAAACAACCTAACCTTGCCCAATTTACCATAAAAAGTCGAAGTCCTTAGCGAAAGAAACTCTCTTTGACCGATCTCTTCATCTTCAGGTTTTGTTGGTTGCGAACGATGGTAATGATAGTGGTGGTTTGACTAAATTCTTCATCTTTTATCACACTGAGATGAATGCCACTTTTTTGGAACCATTGATGTCTTCCTTCTTCCGCTTCAAATTTTTAATACTAAATTAAATCATTTCATAGATTTCAACAATTATGAGGTTCACTGAAATATGCTCTTTATGGTTTCTGGTATCGACAGAGTACAAAGAAAAGGATAGTAATGAGAGAAGGTAGAGAGTCTGTTTATGTGGTGTTCGTGAGTGACAATGGTGACTATGATGGCGCTAAATGGTGGTGTTGTTCAGTATCAAAGTCGGTGGTGTTGGCGGATTTGGGTGGTTTCTGGTGTGCGCTTGTGACCGAACAGTGAAAGAGGAGCCTTTATATGGAGACGCTATATAAAGTGTAGTTGGTTATATGAAGTGTAGTTGGTGTTTATCGATTCATCTGGCTGAAAATGAGGAAAACAAATTCAAAATCAAAGCGAGGGACTTGAAGGAGGGAAAATATGTGAAGTGATGGTGGTGTGGTGGCAGTGGGCGGCTGAAGCAAAGATGGTGGGGTTTGGCGATGATGGTGGAGACTTGAAGGAGGCACGCTAAGGTTATCAAAATTTTACCACCGGAAGATCCGAAGATGGGAGATAAAGGTCGACGGCTAGGGTTTCTAGAGAGAGCCATGTCGGATCAATGTGAAGAGGGAGTGACGGGGAGCATCTATATGATTGTGTATTTGAATGAACAATGAACAGAACTACCGAGATATGGGGAAATGTTGGGATAAGATAATGAGTCAGGTCAAAACAATAAAGCAATAAAAGCTTTCTTGACTTTGTCAAATATTGACCATATATATATATATATATATATATATATATATATATATATATATATATATATATATATATATATATATATATATATATATATATATATATATATATACTAGCCGTTACCCGCGCACAGCGGCGGGGACAAATAGCTTCTTTCAACGATATTTTTTAAAGAAAAATGTTATGTTCCAAAAGAAAGTTCATGTCGTGGGTGAGAGGAAGGGCGGTAGTCGTGATAGTGGTTGGTTGAAGGCGGAAGGAGGCCGAGCGGCTGTAGTGGTGGTGGTTATACTATCTTGGTTATTGGTTAGGGTTCTTCGAGAGAATGTGCGTATATTTCTTACTTTGAAGGGATTACGAAGATAGATATTATGAGATGGCTTGTTACCAATGTGAGAGAAGAGATCCTCTATAAATTGTTGACATTGACCGCTTCAAATGGCTGAAGTGTTGAGATTGACGGGTTCAATTTGCAAATGAATTCTTCTATTAATTTGATACGAGATTTTTAGAGGATAAAAGATAGGGTTAAAGTTTTATATTATTATATTATAAATGGGTTGTACTTTAAGCTTAATAGTTTGGACGTTTTAAAAAAATAATATTATTATATTCAATCTATTTATAGAAATAGTTAGATTTCTTTTATAAGTAGTAAAGATATATATTAAATTTGTTGGTGAAACAGAAAGAAAATGTAAGGGCCCTTTTTTGATAATGCTGAACAAAGATCAACGATCACGAGGTAGGATTAAAAACTCTTGACTTTTATACATGTTTGTTTCATTCTTTAACTTTTTGTTCATAATTTTCCAAGGGATCAAAGTGACTTACATGTGATCATTTTTATGAAATTGATTCAATTTTCAAGGTATATCAATTCAATATTTTAATAATCCCACATTTTTTAATTTTCATACAAACAAGATGAAAGAGAATTCTATCCTTGCTCCAGATGTCAACTTACAAGAACTTGGTGTGTATATATATATATATATATATATATATATATATATATATATATATATATATATATATATATATATATATATATATATATATATATATATATATATATATATATATATATATAAACGTAAATATATCGTATATGTAATGATTTGTGATTTAATGCAGAACAGTTGCACGAACAAAGATCTACATTGGAGCAGAAATTGAAGGTGTTGTGAAAGTATGATTTCTTGCTCTGAATCGCCAGCTCAGCCTTGATGATCTTACCAAAAAAAGTAGATGAGGAAAACATTAAAGTCACCATGGATGATTTCTAGAATGCTCTTGACGAAGTTATTCATGCATTTGGTGCTTCCATGGATGGCCTTGAATGCTGCAAGTATAACAATTATCTCAACTTTTTTTTGTATATATTTTTTCTAATAAATAAAAATTTAAACGAATTATATAGAGTGAATGGAATAGTTGACTGTGGTCAGAAACATGATACGTCTTCAAAAGAACAATGCTATTAGCAAAACAAGTCAAAGTTAACAGAGGTAGTCCACTTGTCACAGTTCATCTAGAACGTCCTAGTGGCAGTGGTAAGACTGCAATGGTAGCTACTGTTGGTATTAGTAGTGATTTCCCCTATTTGAAAATCGTAAGATTTTTTTTTTTAATTTTATTATTTTATATAATCCAATTTATTCACTTAATAAAATTAATATTATCACTCTCTAAAATGGTAGATTTCCGCTAAATCAATGATTGACATCAGTGAAGCCAGTAAATGTGCACAGATTGTGAATGTTTTATTTATTGATTTACTTTTGTCCGATAATGTGGCCTATTAATGATATTACATTTGAAGGCATTTTGAATGTTCTTAATAGTATATAACAAAATAAGCCATTTTAGATTAAATTGCACATACCTGCAGCAACGGTATTATGGGAACTAGGAAAATTATTTGTGCACTAAGTGCACAAAATGTTATAGGTGTTTTTTAATACCAATAAATCTAAAAATTACAAAAAATTTAACATTAGAAACTTCACCTATTTTTATTTAATATTTTTGCATTGTTTCTCAAATGGAATAAATTTGTATCATTAATATAACATAACTTCTTTTGGTTTTTATCAGGTGGCTGCCCCTGAAGTGCCACACGTTCGTGTTCCTAGGACACAGGTAACACAATCTAGTTCATTTATACAACAAGTCATGTCATTACCTTCACCTGTGGATATAGCTTTCTGTTATTGCCTATAATTATGGAAGTATTTATGATTGTTTTGAGAACAACAAGACCCTTTCTGTCTTTTTTTTTTTTATTCTAGAACTATTTCACATGTAATAGTCGTGCAGGCAATGGAAAAAGTCTTCGTTGAAGCTACAACAAGATAAATGGCATTAGAAGAGTTGTACACTAGACAAAACACTAAAATTATGCAACTTAATTGTGTGACCCTTAATATTAATGAATTACATTTATTTAGCACTAGAATGATTATTTATATTTGAAATATTATATATTATGAAATGGATTGTTTTTTATGTGATATGTTATTTTATATTATGATACATTAATTGTCATATTATTTGAAAATTTCTAAATCTATAAAAAAATATATTTTTTTTAAAACCTTAAAATTATGACAGGCAAAAATTTGTGTCGTCATCTTTTATGAAATAGGATTCTTTCATACGCAATGTGTGTCGTCAGTGCGTGCCGTAAATGTGTGTCGTAAGGTTAAGACACGCAAATGCATGTCGTCTTCCTTTATGACAGGGCCTTCCATGACACGTATTTGCATGTCATTTGTACCTTTTTATGACACACAATAGGTGTCATTAAAGGGTATTGTTCTAGTAATGCTTAATTGTTACCCTTATTATCGATACAACAATTCGCTAATGGACCAATTCATCCCTCGTATCCTCATTTCTTTGAAAACTTAATACTTATTATTAAAGAACATCTCTTTTAATCTAGTTTTTTATTTAAATTGCTGACTCGATGATATTTACTTTAGAAGCTTCGAATACTTGACACTTAAATTTCTTAGCATACATATTGTAACATTTTAACTCTTCTCGTACACATGTTCAAAATTCAGCCTATTAGTATATAACATAAATAAATTTGGCAAAATTAATTAGAATATCAATCTCCCAATCCCTCTAATTTAATAAGTAATCTTATCCCTATACTAATAAAAGAGTAGTTATTTTGTTATGTATCATTATATTAGACCTTTTAATTAATATGACGCCACTTATCAATCTATTAGTTCTTCATTTTAAATTTGTTATACCTCTTAATTAATATGATGTTATTTGTTAATGTATTTATTCTCCCTTTTAAATTTTAAATTTTATATTATTGTTTTCATTAATTCACAAATAAAAAATATCTAATATATATTAAAAATTAATTTTATATATTTATTTGAATCAACGATTATAATTTCACATAACTAATAAAAATATCTCGTAATTAATAATTTATTTAAAATAATTAATTTATAATTTTGAGGTTTTAGTATAAAGTTTAATTAATTTTATAATCATAGTTTCCACGAGTTATAAACTAGTATTAAAATATATGGCTTATGACCTAATCAATCAAAATAAACTATTAGCCAAACTCAAACAATTCTCTAGTTCTATTAGGACGAAAATCTACGAATACAGAATCTAAAGAGCAATCATGAATCAATCACCATAAAGTTTCAAGTAATCTATCAAAGGTTTTGTATATTATTGATTTCAAATTAAACGTATAAATAAACCTTTACCGGAAAAAGCTTACATCACAAACTAAGCTAATGACTATATATAGGGAAAATAAAACATTTACCAAAATACAAAACCCTAAATAGTCTTCCATAATTAACCAAAAATGTCAAATCAATTTTAATATCTCAAATTGTAACATCCGGATTTTACCAGGTATCTTGTAAATCTACTTTTGTTGTTTTGTGAGAGGGGACTCGACGAGTTGGAGCTCAGACTCGCCGAGTAGGGACGCGGGTTTGGGCAATGGAGCGCGCCTGGACTCGACGAGTCCAGGATATGGACTCGGCGAGTCTGCGCTGGGTAATGAAACCCTAAATCTCCGGGTTTGAGGCCTATTTAAAGGGCCTTATGGCCGTCATTTGTGCTCACCCAACCCTCAGTGAGTGTCCCTAGAGTTCTTGAGCGATTTGTGAAGAGAAGAGAGCCATTCTTGATCTTGTGTGTGTTGTTTAGCAAGAAGAAGAAGACCCTAGGCAAGAGGAAGCAAAGGAGGTTGCTATTTCGTGGGTTTGGAGCTTAGATCATCACTCTAGAGGTATTATCTCGGACCATTTTCTGTTTAATGAAGCATGATGCAATTTAGGGCTTGTGATGGTCATTTATGGGATGATTTGATGCCCATTGGTTCCCTCTTTGAGTTGAGGCCATGGATCTGGATCCATAGAGGTCCAGAGAGCCTCACTCATCAAGCTTTATGAGTGGCAATAGAGTCCTTGACCTTGTGTTGTAATATTTGAGTCATAAACATCATATAGAGTCATATAGAGATTGTATGTGCATCAAGATTGTAACTTTACGTGCTAAATGAGCTTGGAGGGACTGTATCTATGGATTAATGAACTGGATCTGACCTTTAGAGCAAGATTGAGTCAGTGCATGGCATGGACTCGCCGAGTCCGAAGAACAGACTCGGCGAGTAGCATGAATGTTGCCCGACCACTCTGTGAGTGGCCTCGCCGAGTTGGGAAAGGTGAACTCAGTGGGTCAAGGGGGAGTCAGAATGGACAGGTGGACCGAGTCAAACTGGACTCGCCGAGTTGTTCTTGAGACTCGGCGAGTTGAGTCGTGGTGGCCCCACAACTCGAGCCAGGTGGAACTCGTCGAGTTGGGGGGAAATGCTCGACGTGTCAGGGGAGGGTTCCAGGGAAATTGATGCATGCGCTCAGACTCGCCGAGTCGCTATAGTGCACTCGCCGAGTCCGGTCAAAGTTGACCGTTGACCGTTGACCATCGTTGACCTAGATTGACTTGTTATAGTGTGGTCAACCCTAGTTGGGAAAGTGTTAATTAGAGGTGTATTGTGCTATAGGGGGACGACAGCTCGACAGGTCGAGTGATTAGCGATTTCAGGTTTACGATTTACCGAGACACGCGAGGTGAGTCTTCTCACTATACTTTACCTTGAGTAGGTAACCAGAGTTATGTGATAGAGTATTTGTATGCTATGTATGTTATGTGTTGTACTGCATTACTTCTATGTGATTGATGCTGTGCATGTTTACAGAGTTAGAACCGGAAGGTTCACAGAGTTAGAACCTGAGGGTTCACAGAGTTTGGGTGCACGGACCCACAGAGTTATAGCCTCGAGTGGCTAATATGTGTTATATGTAGTATTTTGGGGAACTCACTAAGCCTTGTGCTTACAGTGTTGATGTTATTGTTTCAGGTACTAGTGACGACCGCGGGAAGGCGCCGGCTTGATCCGTACACACACATATTCGGAGCTTGATATCATGATCTTGGGATTTTGTATTGTCTTGTTTGGATAATTAAAATGGTTGTTTTATGAATATCAATGGAATTATGTTTTATAAAATTGAAAATTTGTTTGAAAATTTTCGGTGTTACAAATTGGTATCAGAGCCTTGGTTTGAGGGATTCGGGTACACCTTCGGGGGTATTTGAACTCAAACTGAGGAATTGAAGAGATATTTTCAAAATAAAACCAAAATTTTCTAAGAGTAAAAGATTTTCCAGGAGGAAACGTGTGTACGATCAGCCAGCGCCCGAACGGTGAATTCCCAAAATACCTTTATATTATGTGATAATTATTATTAATGTGATGTATTTGCATGCTAGAGTAGGCTAGGTATTGCTAATAGGACTAGAGTGGCCTGTTTTGTGATGCCTTAGCCTAGGAAAGGGTGAGCTGCTATGAGGTGTTGAGAGTATCTAGGTAGCAGCTAGGACTTTGTGTGAGATCTGTTACAAAGTGATTTAAGAGTAGTAGAGTACTTGGGGATTGGGATCCGAAGAGGAAGATTTGGGGTGTGTACTGAGACGGTGCGGACAGTAGTATTGGGCCCGTACTACTGAAGCACCGGTGCGGTACACAGTCCAAATAAGAATCTTGGGATACCAAGAATCAAGGAGGGGTGGATTGTCGAATGTAAGAGTGTCGAGTAAATTCTAATTATCGCATGTTGTATTTCAGAGGTTGATCATGGTGAGGACACGTCACATGCCGGAGGATGCCGGAACTAGCGATGAGGAGATTCGACAGATCATTCATGAGGAGGTGGCTGCGGTCATCAGAGCTGAGTTACCAGAGATGTTCGGGTCTATTAAGACCGCGTTGATTGAGACATTTGACGAGCGCTATGCCGCTCTTTCTGAGGCTGCGGTTGCAGCAGCTACCGCAGCGATTGCTGCGGCAAGGCCCCAGGGAGGTGATGCGTCATTGTTTAGGGAGTTCAGCAACACCAAACCACCAGAGTTTGATGGTACGCAGGACCCGGTGGCAGCTATGAGGTGGATATCTGATATGGAGGGATGCTTCTTCACTTGCTCGTCCCCTGAGCATTTGAAGGTTCGGTTCGCGCTGAACCAGCTTCGCTTGGGAGCGAAGGACTGGTGGAAGTTTGTGACGGCGCATTTCACACCGACTGAGCTTTCGGCAGTGACCTGGGAGAGGTTCACTACCATGTTCCGAGATGAGTACGTTCCTCAGGTGGAGAGGGAGCGTCTGGCACAGGAGTTTCTGACCCTCAAGCAGGGTACCGAGTCAGTTACAGCGATTACGAGGATGTTTCATGAGAGGGCGATGTTCTGCCCTGAGCACGTGTCCACTGAGCAGGCACGTATGAGCCGTTACCTTAGCATTCTGAGACGGGATATTCGGGAGTTCGCTGCGAACTCCTCGTATCGGACATTTGCCGAGCTTCAGGCAAATGCTCGGAAGAGGGAGATTGAGCTTGAGACTCAGGCCAGGGAGGAGGCGGAGTCTCTGGGGAGGGATCGGCGGCCAGCACAGTCCCAGCCGGCAGCCAAGCGGGCCAAGCCCGCTGATCCCCGACACGGGAGCCAGAAGGGCCGCACTTGTGGAAAGTGCGGCAAGGGTCACGATGGAGTCTGTCGAGCGGGGTCTTGCTACAAATGTGGCAAGGAGGGGCATATGGCCAAGGACTGCCCCAAGGGGTTTACAGTGTGCTTCCACTGTAACCAGACCGGACACCGGAAGGCAGAGTGTC